TTTGGTAGGTGCTGTCTAAGGAGCTTGGTGAATTACATTTCTAAGATGTAGCACAGTAATTCAGGTTTTCTTGTCACAAAAGAACTTGCAAGAAAAGTTAATTACTTGGATCAGTTTTACAGAATTCCTTAGAGGCAACATACAACTTAGCTAAAAATATCAATAGATTTATACTTTTTGATGCCAGAAGAACCACTGTACATTTCCAGAATTCTCCGATTTAAAAAAAAGTTAAGTCCTTAGTGCTGGGCTTTTATTCTCTGCAGTTTCTAGGTATGAGAGTCAATCTCATGGAAATCTCTAAGATTCTGAAGAGGTTTAATGGGCTAGATGCTTCTCTGCATTGTTTCCGATCACTGGGGTATCTAAAACACAGGGGCACAGTCTTGGAAGGGGCTGGTCATTTTGGACTTAGATGAAGAGAAATTACTTCCCTTAAGTATTGTGAATTTTCAGAATTCTCAACTGCAAATGGTGGTGGATGTTCCATTGTTGAATACTTTTAAGTCCACAATAGATTATTGGTCTTTCTGGGAATAAGGGAATGAATGGGAAAGTGGAGTTGTGGTCCAAGATCAGCCACGATTAGATTGAACAGTGGCGCAGGCTAAATGGTCCATTCCTGCACCCATTTCATGTGCTCTTGAGTTCTTGCGTACAACGAATCTATTGAAATCATCAGAACGCATAAAGCTTGTGTCAGAACAGCTGCAACTCATAAATGAAACCTAAATATGCTATTTTTCCCATAAAGAAGGAGATTATAAGGTGTGCATCAGCAGCGTTTACGACAAGATAATAAACATTTGTAATTGAGGGGATGCACAATGGGGATTGGGAAGAGAGGGAAAGACTGGAAAATGGAGATTGGGAAATGGAAATCAGGTGCAGCAACTACTTCGAAGATTCTTGTACAGACCTGGCACAGGAACATATTGCTGATTTGCATTAATGTATAACACTAATTAAATCAAAGAAAACAACACCTGATATTAAACCAGTACCCTAGACTCTGTTGGAGGCATTCATGGAGATTCTGTCAAGTGATGCTCTGACCACATCACATCTTACCACAGCACTTCTACAATTTATTTGGTTATGAAGAAGTAGCAAGCAAAATACTAATTCATAATATTATTGGTTGTACATATATACTACATCTCAAATCATTTTTGGAATGAAAACTTTGTACAGCCAAGGCTATTGGCTACACCATCAATATTATTGCACTTGCAAAGAACAAATTGCTTGGGTGGCAATACAATGACTACAACGCTTTTACAGGACCCAATTTGTGGGAGTAAATATATTAGTTTTTGCTCGGCTGCTGTGCCATTGAGAATAATGACCTGTGGTTATCCATCAACAACTGTTTGGTGAGGGCCAGAAAAACATTGAGCCAACTGAATATGGAAATTGAGGGCAGGGAAATTGGAAACCCTCTTTTACCCGGTCTTATCTCTTCCCCCTCACTGAAGGCCCCATCTTTCCCTGAGTTCCATTCGCCAGTCTCCATCTTCCAAAGATCCATTTCTCAATATGCCTCTCCTTCTGAACTTCCCTTTGCCAATCCGCATCTTCATGATCCTTCAATTCCCCAGTATGCATCTTCAGTCAGGTCTCAATTCCCTGGTCTCCATCTTCCTCCGATCTCAGATTCCCTAATCTATATCTTTCTCTGAACCCTCATTCCCCTCAGTCTCCAACTTTAATTTGGAAAGGCAAAATTCCAAAGATTGCCTATGTGATTCACAACCCAATTTGGAACTAGGTTAGGATAAGTAAACAATTCTTGTTGGTACTGACTGCTTTTCCAGGCGAGTCTTATGAAACTGGATTCCTTCAACTAAAGTTTGGCTGCAAGTAATAAGAAGCTGTTAACAGTCTCTTGATTGTAAACTAGTCACAACTGCAATAAAGGTTTTCCAGAGCTTCAGAATTTTATAAAGTAGCAAGACACTACATATAGGGGAAGTTTTGAAGTGAATTGGATTGTATTTATGAAGCACATTAACATGCAGGGAATGAAGGGTTATGGGCCACGTGCAGACAGATGGATTTACCTTAGAATGGCATCATATTTGGCACAGACATGGTCGGCCAAATGGCTTATTCCCATGCTGTTCTGTTCTATGTACAGAGTTCCAGTTCCAATCCCACTTGAGATTTAACAAGAAAATGCTTGATTGGTTCCAGAATTGGTACTTATAGATTGTTGGAAACATTTATTATCTTGCATAATTATATCGATTGCTATGGGTAACTATGGAAAATATAATTTATGATAAAATGTGCAGTGTGTGCTTTTTTCTTGCTGGTCAATTTCCCATGGCTGGTTTTAAAATGGAGGCAGAACTGTGCCAGGATTAATGCTATTGAAAAAAAAGCAGGCTTTGGTTTTTAGCCCAGCATGTTTATGAAAAGAAAGCATTACCAAATCAGATTAACTGATCATTTCAGATTCCTACACTAGTTGAAGTTCTCTCTTTCAGATGAGACATCAAACCAAGGTCTGGCTTGTCCACTCAGGTGAATATGAAAGATCCCATGGGAGAAGAAAAGCAGTGGAATTCTTTCTGGAGTCTTTGGTAATGTTCATCTCTCAACCACCATTATTAAAACAAACTAGTCATTATCAGAATGCTCTGTGGGTATTTGCTAAGAGAAAATTGGTTGTGTTTCCTATGCAATAATTGTTACTCCTTTGGGATGTTGTATTACAAAACAACTGTATATAAATGTGAGCTTGTTTTTTTTTCATCTCAAAGCCCTGCAATTGCACTGGATCCAAAACAGCAGCCATACTGACTCCATTACAAAAAAGTGACTATTTCATTAATAATAAAAACTGGAAGAACAGATCTAGTGGCATCGCAGTAGAGGAAAATAGGGTTCACGTTTCATTTCAATATGATCTCTTGTAAATTGGTTCTGGAAGAGTCATATTGTACTTAAAATATTAACTGCATCTCTCCACAAATGCTGCCAAATGCACCGAGTTTCTCCAGAATTTTGTTTTTATCTCTGCATCTGCAGTATTTTGCTTTTATGAGTGAATACTTCGTTATCTTTGGGAGGTCAAGTGTACCTGCAGGGCCTATATAACTAAATTTATTGGTTATTGGATAATTTAATTAAGATGAATTTAGGGTTATAAATATCAAGTTGTATGACAGCTGTACAAGATGTTAAGGAAGAAGATGTGCCGAGAGGAAGTCATATTGGATGAAAGAGTTAAACAGATCATTTGGAAGAATCATAGAATCCCTACAGTGTGGAAACAGGCCATTCGACCTAACAAATCCACACCTCCCCTCCGAAGAGCAGTCACACCCCAACTCATTCCCATGTCTAACCCACCTAACCTAGACAGAAGAAAATTTCTGAAACCTTTATTCATGCGAGAGTTAATCATGGAGCAGTTTGTTCAAGGCTTATAAAATTAAGGGATGTGATGCATTTCACCTTCACACTTCACCTGCGCTTCCCAGGATCTAGTCTACTTGCTGCTCACAATGTGGTATCCTCTACATTGGGGAAACGAAGCAGAGACTGGGTAGCCGCTTCACAGAAAATCTACGTTCTGCTTGCAAAAAAACCCCCGAGCTACCTGTTGCCTGCCACTTTGACACACCACCTGTTCCCTGGCCAACATCTCTGTCTCTGGCTTGCTGCAGTGTTCCAGCAAAGCTCAACACAAGCTGGAAGAAAAACACCTCATTTTCTGCTTGGGGACCCTGCAACCCTCCGGACTCAATATAGAATTCAATAATTTTAGGGTCTATACTCTCCCATGTCCCAGCCCTCTAACCCGCACACCAGACCTTGTTATCACATAGCCTACCATTACACACCACCTATTGTTAGTCACGAACAGTCTCCATTAACAACTATTTACCCTCTTAGCCAGATCGTTATCAACTCCTTTGTCTATCCAATTGCTCTTTTCTCTCTTCGGGCTTTATCCTATCATTTACTCCAACCCCATTCCCCCTCCCTATTTTCTGCACATAAACTGACGTTTTCCCAGCCTCAAAACATTAACTCTGATTTTTCTTCACAGATGCTGCCAGACCTGCTGAGCTTTCCAGCAACTTCTGTTTTGTTTCCACATAGGTGACTTGTTTCCTCATTATTATTCCTCCTTTTCTAATTACAAATTGTCCCCCTTCTCTGGAGATTTGTTTTGAAGTACTGTTCCACGTGTTGAGCAGTGCTCTGGTAGTAAAACAAAGAACTAGCAATGATCGGACACCTCTTATAAATCATTGGATGCCCATGTGCTTAAAAGCCAAATTTGGGGTCTTGAAATGCAGTCATCACTGTACATTTAAATTTTCTGAATTTTGTCTTAAGGTGACAGAAGAATAGGAATACTTCATTCAGCCAGAAAGCTGCTCCACCATTCATTTGGATTAAAGCTGGTCTAAGCCTCATTTATGACATTAGCTTTATATCCCTTAATAGCCTTACCCAAACAAAAATTCTGTCCAAAATTTTCCAAATGAGCCAGCATCCATTGTCTTTATGAAGCTGGATTTCGACTACTCTTTGTGAATGACCGCTATGTTATTTTAGTTCTTCAAAGGACTAACTCCAGTTTTAAGATCATGCCTGCTTTGTGTTTCTCCCTACCACAGAAAAGGAATCTATATCTGCTCTATCGAGTCCTTTCACCATCTTACTGGAGACAGTGGGCTTACCAACTGCTTAGCAACTCTTGTGCACAACTTTGAGAAAATCTCTGGTAAGTAGAATTCTTATTGTCCAATTTTTATTGTTCTGTGAATTAATGAGCACCGATCAATATTTTTTTTTTCAATTTAGCATCCTGTTTTTAATTTGGTCAAGGCTTTGAGGCATATTGTACTAAATATTTACTCAGCAGAAACGGCAAGTTTTAGGATGAGAAGAATCATCCCTAGCAGAGAAAAGGATAATTGGGAATGAGCAACAATTGCTCACAACGCTCAACCCGTGAAACTTTTTTTAAAACCACATTTGCAAAATTATACGTAAATAATTTTATTTGAATATTCTGAAATGTTACATACAACTTACATTTTTCACAGTTACTGTACATAGCAGTACATGCTGTTTTTACCAAGCGTTACCCAAAACATCTGCAATTCAAACTTGAAAATATTTGCAATACATCCAGTATCGTACAAGCAATGACATCTGCCAAACAGTAAATTCAAGCAGGACACTGGAAAAGAAAAAAAAGAGAAAAGTGGGAAATCTAATAATTTGGTCAGGTTGATATGAAAACCTTGGAAGTTCTGGCTTCTAACTCAAATTAAAATAAACCAATTACAAATATATGAAAACCGATCACATTATCGATTAACAGACAGTTTAAGTACAAATTCATTTGGCAAATTCCGTCAAACGATGGTTGTATGTACTAAAACCAAACCAGGCAAACCATAAAAGAAAAAAATCTTGAGAAAACAGACTACATATGCAGCATGGCTCCACTTTTAATGGATCCTACGTACAGTTGCTTTCACATTCCATTTAGCTTACTTGCTGCTCTACATTAAATAATTTACTGACCAACTGATTTGATCCAGGTATTTATATCAATTAAAAAAACTTCATTCACAGCAAATTCTTCTCAGCAATGACTTGCTAGAGAGCTTAAAATAACTAACTGGCTTGCTAGGCCACTTCAAAGGGTAGTTAAAAGTCAAACATGTTGATATGGATTAATGTATAGGTATATTGAATACAGATAGCAAGGGCCCCCTGTGGTGCAGTGTTAGTGTCCATTCCTCTGGGCTAGGAGACCTGGACTCAAGTCCCACCTGCTCCAGAGGCGGGTCATAACATCTCTGATCAGGCTGATTAGAAAATATCTAAAAAACAGTAAATTTCCTTCTGTTAAAATAAACTCCAATGAGTAAGTTGAATTTAAGACACAATCTGACAGCTTCATAGTCATGAACCAAAATCTTCAAAACAAACTGTGGTATGAACTTGAATTCTCGAATTACCATTTCAGTAATGTCTCCATTATACCAACATTCCTCAAAAGATGGCAAAATACAATTAATACCTTCCTGATGTACTGCTCTCAGTATAAATAAGATACAGCCAACATTATAAGCCTTGTACTTATAAGCACACACAAATAATTGCTCACCAGTTCCACAAAAGCTAAAAGATGATAATTTTGTTTGGCGCATGATGTCTGGTAAGAGGTTATGCACCACTGAATAATGATTGAGGCGAGTCATTAAAGTTACTGATTTCATTTCATTGCACAACTTTGCAATCAATTAGGTGGTATCAAAGCACAGATGGGTACCGAGTGCAATATGCAGACAAATTTACAGCAACACTACAGCTAGCATGGCAGAGCAATAGAACAGAATATATTATGCTAAATATAGTTGTTGTTTGTTCTGTTATATTTCATAGCTTCTGCTTTCATTGTCCAATATGCTGTTTTTCTGGGACTAAGTGTTTAGGTTTTGGGAGCTGCACACAAGGCATATAAAATTGAATATTTTCTGATTACAGTACATTTCTATATATTGAAAGCATCTATGCATTAAACATTGCAACACATACCCAGCAGAAAGCAAACTTTTAACATGAATAGATTTCCTTCCAAATAAACACCAAAAATATTCACAAGAAGTTGAATTCATAGCTGTAGCTTACTAATAGCAGTCCTTTAGATAAACACAATGTACATTTTTTAGCACTGCCTTCAAAATGCAACCTAACCCTGCTTTTGGATTGCTAGGGTTTTACTGGTTTATAAAAAGACATGGTTAAAATACAAGGGCAAAATCTGTACAAACATAGTCAGTTCAACCATAATATAATACATATTTACTAACCAAGACAAATAAAGATTAATGTATATTACAGATTTACTATATATAACAAATATTTACACACTATACATATTATAATACAAGACCCAGCAGAAGTACTTGGATAGATTCAAGTCACAAAACATCTGGATTAGGTTTCTAGTCACATTTACAGATGCAACCATTTTGAAAATATCCCTATATTCTATGTAATATTCATTGCGTTAGTCAATCCAGGGATCTAGCTTCTAATTTGCTTCATGTACTAAGCGCAGTCTTTACCCATTTTTTGGCGGGGGGGGGGGGGGGGGGGGGGCGTGAAAGAGACACACTAGGCATGTCTCTCTAGATTAAATCACATTTAAAGTAGCTACTGCAGTGCATTTAGTGTTGGCATTTGCACAACTGAGGTACTGAATCTTTTAATAATTCTGCAAAATTTCTACCATTTCCAATAGTAACAGATAATATGACATGTGACTTTAACAGTATAGAAAGGAACAGTTGAAAAATCGATTTTTGATGTGAATCACATTTTATAACGTATTTGGCTTCCTCACTGATATATGTAACTGAGGAATTACCAAAATGGATGAAAACAGCAGAAAGATTTTTTTCGTATCTCTGGTCATTCTACTTTCACACTGATTAAACTGCAACATTTCAAATTACCAGTAACACCACCAAAAGTAAAACCAGCTCAGAATATACAGTTGGCAAAAGAGACCAATTCACAAAGTTTAATTTTAAATTTACTGTAGGTCAGCATACACCATCTAGCATTAATTAAAAAAAAAACCAAATCCTGTGTATTGACTGATGGGGTTCTACTTTGGGATCTGGGCCAGAAGGCAAGACAGAGAAAAGTAAGCAAGGACAAAACTTTGCCACGGCTTGCACTACTATTTCACATTATGCTTCAGAATTACAGTAAAGGATACATCCCTTTTCTACACGAGTTCCCCCCCATTCAAACTTTACACAAATACTTTAAAAGTACTTCTTCAGTTTATTCCATAATGCCTCCAATGCCATATGAATTTGATTAATTAATTCCTTGTCTCTGTCAATGCATTTACACATCTCTTAATCCTCAGTAGAGGATGCATATTTAGTTTACAACTGACCTTAGTCAAATCTTTTGTAGTGAACAAGTACAAACTGTCAGAAAAAGGAGACATATTGGCCAGAGTTACTTTAGACTCCAAAACCTCAACCCTCCAGTTACTGGCAACTTTTAATAACCAAGGTCTCCTAGGTGTGTCTGCTCTCCACATACAATAAAAGACACTTGTGCTTGAGAATTTTGGGCACATTCACGAACACAAAAAATGACCTTGGAAGAACATTCTTCCTATCTCGTGCTTCCTGTCATTTACAACAATTTGTGTTTACATAGTGCCCTCAGAAAAAAAATCCCAACCCACTTAACAGGCATAGATCATATGAGCCTACTCTCCACAGCAACTTTGCTGTCCTCCCAATTTGGGATTGAGATGATATCACACACCTCTCTGCTGAAACTCAAAATTAGATCCAAATGTACTACTTCATATTTCTCAAATTCCACGTGGGATAAATGCTGGAAAATGTAGGACTGGAAAGGCACACCATTACATGTATATTCCAGTTTAGTTCCGCACAGCTATTCCAGCAGTGACGTGGGGAGGCACAGATATTTGTGACAAAAATCACAATTCCTTTGACAGGTCTCAAAGATCAGCAAGTGAACTCTCCGTTACAATGCCAGCCACATTTTGTTTACTACAGGGAACAAAAGAAAAAAAGCTTCAAGTTCTAGTGAACATACTTTAAAGCTCAAATTCCTTGATGGTATAGAAATATATTTCTCCCTGTGCTTTGGTTGCCATGCTCAACACAGAGGAAATTAGAATACTCAGGGAACAGTGAAAAAGCTTACGTGCTTAAAAATATTTTGCCTGCTTAAATTAGCAATAAAGCAGCTCAAGATTAGGTGGGGCAAGATTTTCTTCCACTGTATTTAAATTGCTCAAAGAGGAAGAAAAGGTTCTTTCAAGGATATACTGAATAAGCAGTAGTAGTTTAATGGGAACCAGCTCAAATATATGAATCTCCCTTGCCCCAATTTCCAACATCAGATAGTTACATCCAGTTCTTGTACTCAACAAATCTACTTGTTTCAGTGCCAGAACTGAAAACACACTAGAACGGGCACAAATTGTCCTTGTACTGTTGCACCAAGATTAATATAACCAGTTTCTGTGACTTACAACACAAGCATTTAAGAATTTATATAACACAAGTTTTATTGCAGCTAAACAGGCATTAAAGTGATCAATTAGTGGTGTCAATACCTCTACCAGTTCGCTACAAAGATTATTTTTTCTGTCCAGTTATTAAATCCTTTGTTAAAATAACAGAGCAATGTTTAATTGTACATCTGGCTAGCTGCCTTTATTCACATTACAGGCTATGACAGGATGAGCTTTTGCCAGATGGAAAAACAAAAGAAAGTGGCCTTAAAATAGATATTTTTGAAAACTGAACTGCGAGCAGGCAGCAGAGACTATAATCCTTCCACTTCATGCCCATCTTCCACTTGAGACAAAGCTTCGGCTGAAAGAAAAGCTGGTGCCAGTGTTTTTGTGCTTTCCCCATGCACCAAAAGGAACTACAATAATAGTACTGTTATCTTCTGCACCATAGTGCAGTGCCTGCAACAAAGGAGAAGAATATTATTATACTACAAAAGTAAAATGTTTCTCCGAGTCTGACTTCTTTGTTAAACTAACTTTAGTATACCATTTTGGCTACTATGACTGCCTCTACACAGTGCCCAATCTCGTTTTCTTGTTATGCAGAAGCAAAGTAATCAGGAGAAAGTAAGTCAATCACTTGAGGCAGTTTGTATTTGTTAAATAATGGCAAATATGTACCTTAGTTCCATTTAATCTCAGATTCCTGATACATCAATGTCCACAAAACCAAATCTTCACTCCTGAAACATAAATCTTCACCACGCTGTGTTCAAGTTATCTTTGAATTTACACTCTTTTTCTGGTGGAAAGATAACTTTCCTACTCTTATCACTGGCAACTCAGTCAAATTTGTCTTATCTCAGTGTCTTCGCATCTGTGATTTTAACCTCTGATAGGCCATCTGCATTCAATATCTGATCTCCCTTACCACCCACACCCCTTTAAAAATCTGTCTCCTGACTTTCACCAACTATTGATGGGGAAATTAATTCTCCCATCCCAAACCCATCAACAACCTCACTCTTAAAATTTTTAATTCTCCATATCTGATCCTCCATCATTACATCTCCAACTCCTACTTTTATTTTACCTTGTTGGTAAAACTATTCCCCCTAGTTCAGCTGCAGTCTTCCCAATCTCAAATTTGAAAGGTGAAAACATGATCAAGACAGTAAATGCAACTGGTCCACTTAAATTTGGCACAACCAAGACAAGCACTACTACATATCTATCTTCAGGTAAAACTATATTATTTGTCATTCATTCTGGGCAAGGGGGAGCCTCCGACTCCTTACTGCTGCAAAAAACTACCTCTGTAGCTCACAACCTTAACCAAAATCAAACGCATCTCCACCAAGACAAAGACCAGCTGTACAGCTGCCTCCATTCTGTTCCCATTTCCTCACTCTCAGCTACACACATAACCCAGTCATGTTACTTTTTAAAAATTAAGCATCAATATAGATCAGTTGGGTCAAATGTCCTATTTCTCACTTGCAAATTCCACATGTAGTATCTTGCACCTGACTAGTTTGGATGAAAACTGGTCTGTCACTTTTCTCCAACACAAAAGAAAATTACTAGTGACTCTTGAAGATCTTATACTTTTAAAAATCAGCACTCAACTGTTTTATGCTTTGATGTACTCAGGTACAAAATTTTAAACTAAAGATTTTCAAAAGGGGGAAAAATATACTTTTTCTGAAGAAGGGTCCAGACCCGAAATGTCAGCTTTCCTGCTCCTCTGATGCTGCTAGGCCTGCTGTGTTCATCCAGCTCTACACCTTGTTATCTCAGATTCTCCAGCATTGATTCTCTGAATCAATTTTAACCCCACTGCGAAGCCTCTTCTAAGGATGCCTCCCTTGAAGAAGTTACCCTCCTCCCTCCGGAAAGACCTCAGTGGATTTCTCTCCCACTGCTACCCTCTTGTAATCTCTTCGGCCCTGAAACTGCTCGACCACATCCTGAAGTAAACCAGGTACTACAGCCACATTGCCTTTCTCAGTACCTGCCTATGGAACCGGATCATCCCCAATGGACTACAGTCTACAGTCAGGCCTTCCCAATTTGGCCCCAACCACGATGACTGCTACATACAGAACATTCAGATCCTTCAAAAACGTTTCTCCCCGCGACTCCTCAAACACACTCGCAGCAATGCGCCGGCATCTCCTGGTACTACAAATCAAGCCTACCCCAGCTCACAGCCTCCCTCTCCCAAGCCTGCAAAAGGCCTCTCCTGTTTTTCATTCTTCGCATTTTCTGAAGAAGGGTCCAGACCCAAAACGTCAGCCTTCCTGCTCCTCTGATGCTGCTTGGCCTGCTGTGTTCATCCAGCTCTACACCTTGTTATCTCAAAATACACTGTATGTTAGGCTTCAATTAAAAAAGAGATTCTAGGCAAATTTGTACCTAGTTGGAGTCAGTAATTCAGGTAATTATAGTAACAATTTTTTTTAAGAGAATGTTGAATGTAGGCATTGCTGGTAGGCCAGCACTATGGTCTATCTCTGAATGCCTCGAGAAAATGATGGAGAATTTAAAATTAATACATAGCTTCGGAGTTCATTTACAAAAAAAGGCTTATGGACTCAAATACCACATACTGCTCCCCTGAAGTAAACAGAGATGCTTACATTAGCGCACAAAGCATAAGGACAAATACATTTAAGCATAAAAGCAAACAAGTCAATCATTAAAATAATCCTGGCTTTCAAGACAGGCTGTTACATGAATAGTTATTCTAGCACAGAGATAAATGCAAACCAAACAAACGGTACATGATTAAATCAAGTTCCATTTACCTGTTCAACAATAACCTGAGCAGCCTCTATTGGATCATGACATTGACTGATGTGATCACATATCTCTTGGCTATTCATGATAAAGTTAATCCCATCTGTTGTTAGAACTAAGAAAGCATCATCTCCATGTTGCAGCTGCAGAAAAAGAACTTGAAAATTAGTTGATACCACAAGAAAACAAATTACAGAAAGAGGGGCCTTGTTGTACAATTGTACAGGGGAATACTATGTATGAAACATACCCTCTTCACAAAGTTTCTTGAAATTGCCAACCAAGATACAGTTTCACAGGCACTAGCAACCCGCTAATATTTTGCTCACATGGTTCTCAGCTTTGACTGAGAGAACTGACATTCTCAATGGATAAAAATGATTAGAAAGACTAATCTTGTTGTCATCCATCATCCATTAAGGAACATTCCTGCTCAAGTCAGCAGCCTGCTTGGGGAGGACATCAGGTCAATTTCCTCTTTTGACTAGGAGCATTGAAGCCCTAGCTGAATCTAATTCGGTTAGTATAGGTTAGGAATGAAACTCAGGACCTTTTGTTCTGTATGACTTAGCGCAATATGGAGTACTGTCTTTGCTAAAGTGAACAATCATCATTTTGAAAATTATTTTTTGGACGTTTCAGTATGCAGTCCCAACAAAGTCATCCAAATTCAATAGCTCCAACCTAATGGAAAATCTTATATTCTAGTTTAGTTATGTGTAAGACTAGGTATACAATTTGTTAGTCATAGTCATAGAGCATGGAAACAGACCCTTCGGTCTGATCAGTCCATGCTGACCATGTTTCCAAACTAAGTAGTCCTGCCTACCTGCACTTGGCCCACATCCCTCCAAACCTTTCCTATTCATGAGCTTATCCAAATGTTTTTTAAACATTGTAACTGTACCTGCATCTACCACTTTCTCTGGAACTTTATTCCACACACTAACCACTCCGTGTAATAAAGGTGCCCCTATATTCTTTTCAAATCTTTCTTGACACTGTAGGGATTCTATGTTTCTATGATTCTCTCACCTTAAAAATACGACCCTCATTGTGAATTCTCCCACCCGAGGGAAAAGACCCTTGTCATTCACCTTATCAAGTCCCCATAATTTTATAAACCTCAATAAAAGCCACCACTCAACCTCCTATGACCCAGTGAAAAAAATCCCAGTCTTTTCAGTCTATTTTTATATCTCAAACCCTCCATTCCCAGCAACATCCTGTTAAATCTCTTCTGGACGCTCTCCAGTTTAACAGTATCCTTCCCATATCAGGGCGACCAGAACTGCACAACAGTACGCCAGAAGAAGCCTCACCAACATCTTGCACAACCTCAATATGACATCCCAAAAACAGATTACTTTCATGAAAATTCAGATTGATTTAATATATTCATAGAAGTTTAAAAATACTGTAAATTAAGTTCACCTAAGGAATGTAAATTTTTAACCTTCAATTGGACTAGAGAAGTGCTGGAATCCCAAAAGGGACGTAAAGGATTGTGGTTTGCAACATGCAGTCTCACCTTAATCTGTCTGGTCTCTGGCTCAGCGATGACTCCTGCAGACCTTAAAGCTAGATCTCCTATACTACGTGTCATAGCCAATCTCCCATTTACATGTGGTTGACCCAGACTGTTCCAGGCAACAAATCCACCACATTTCTTAATCCTATCAAATACAATAAAGCAAAAGGTAACAAACATTGTACTTATCTATACAATGTAAGAAGTTAAGTGAAACACTATACACTGCTATAGAACAATGATTTATTGTACTTAGTATTTTGAAATTTTAAATTTGTGAATTATACTTAATTTGCAATCACTAGACTATTTGCATCAAGCCTTCGATAAATGTTACCTTTCCCTCTCATCTTTCCGTTCTGGAGTGTGGTCTTCAGTCAGTCGCTTATGTTTCCCTTTACGACAAAGAATTGCCCGGCTGTCACCCACACTTGCTACCACAAGCTCAATGCTATCACGTAACAGAGCCACAGTGGCAGTTGTCCCCGAAGCAAGGAAAGAGACTAAAATTATCAGAAAGTAGACTTAGACTACAGTCTTTGAAATCATGCAGTATGTTACAAAACTTTGAAAGCATCGATAGTATTTTAAAATAAATATGCTCAAAACTACTGTTAAACATTAAGCATCATACATTACATTCGATCAGTTAAAAAATATAGCATGCAAGCATTAAAAAACAATTAAACTACAAAAAAAAAAAGGAAATTACACTTTGGTAACAGGGCTCAATGCTTAACAGACCTTATATAAAGCACAACAACAATAGCAGAAAATATGTTCTAATTTTAAAAATAAAAGGAACTGGATAAGTAAATAAACGACTTGTGAACTGTGACAAGTTTGAGAATACTAATAATATTTGATGCAAGTACAGTTTATACTTAGCATTAGGCCCTGCTGTAACAATGTAGAAACAATTACTAGAGTCAAAACAACTAGAAAGCTAAATTTCAGAACAAACACCATGAAATGCTTAATTAAGTATACTATGTAGCAGGCATTTTTAACTGCTGCTTTGAGATCTTAGGAGGCATTGACTTGTAAAAATTGTTTCAAATGCTTTTCTGCAATTTAGATCAGAAAATGTCCAAAGTGGGCCATTTCCCAACCTTCAAATGTTTGACTTTTGGACTTCCACTGCAGTATACCACTGAACATTAAGAGCACTGGCAGGGAGAATAATGCAAGCTATGCACTACAGAGGCCCAGGAAGCTTTCCCATAAAGGCAAGTTACTTCAACACTATTTTCACAAGATATATAAAAATGGAGATGGGCAAAGAATAATAATCACACCACATTTAATAATCACAACTCAACTTCTATTATGAATTCATATTCTATTTGACTACAGTCAAATAACCATAATTTATTACCAGTTTAGGGATATTAAGATACGTAAACATGCATTTAAAGATAGATCAGGGGAAATACAAAAGGTTTTTGGCCCATCCATATGTATAATGAGGCAGACTTGATTAGGGAACTTAAGGTGAAGGAACCCTTAGGTGGCAGTGACCACAATGATAGAATTCACCCTACAGTTTGACAGGCAGAAGCTGGAATCAAATGTAACGGTATTACAATTCAGTAAAGGTATCTACTAAGATACGAGGGAGGAGCTGGGCAGAGTTGATTGGAAGGGGAGCCGAGCAGGGAAGACAGTGGAACAGCAATGACAGGAGTTTCTGGGGGCAATTCGGGAAGCACAGCAGAGAATATTCCCAAGGAAGAGGAAACATATTAAGAGAAGAATGAGGCAGCTATGGCTGACAAAGGAAGTCAGGGACATCACAAAAGCAAAAGAAGAAGCATATAATGTGGTGAAGATTAGTGGGAAGCCAGAAGATTGGGAAAGCTTTATAAACCAGCAGAGGGTAACTAAAAAAAAATCAACTGGGGGATGGGGGTGTTGGAGGACAATGAAATGAGGGAAAGCTACCTACTAATATAAGGTTGCAAGAGTATTTTAAGAGAGGGGCAATTTAAGAGAGCAGACATTTTAGAGCAGTCCAATGAGGCTGAAGTAGTAGTAATGAGGAACAATGGCAGAGGAACTGAATATGTACTTTGCATAATTTTTACAGTGGCAAACACAAATAGCATACCAGAACTCCAAGAGAGTCACAGGGTAGAGGTGAGTGTAGTGGCCATCACTACGGAGAAGGTGCTGAGGAACCTGAAAAAGTCCGGAGATGAATAAATCATCTGGACTATATGGACTATACCCAGAGTTCAAAAGGAGACAGCTGAGGAGATTGTACAGGCATTGGTGGTAATCTTTCAGGAATCACTTGAGTAAGGGAGGGCCCAAGAGGACTAGAAAATGGCTAATGTAACACCCCTGTTTAAGGGGAGAGGGAGGCAGAAGGCAGAAAACCAAAGGCCACTTAGCCTTACTTCGGCCATTGGTAAGATTTTAGTGTCCATTATTAAGACTGAGATTGTACAGTGCTTGGAAATGCATGGTAAAAGAGGGCGCAGTCAGCAAGACCTTGTAAAGAGGAGGTCATGCCTGATAAATCCATTAGAATTCTGAGGAGGTAACAAGCAAATTAGACAAAGGAGAATCAGTGGACATGATTAATTTGGATTTCTAGAGGGCCTTTCACAAGGTGTTGCACAGGAGGCTGGTAAATAAGGGCCCATGGTGTTAGGGGCAAGGTACTGGCATCAACAGAAGAATGGCAGAAGGCAGAGGGCGGGGATAAAAAGCAGGTTTTTTTTCAGGATGGCAGCCAGTGACTAATGTATTTCTGCAGGGGTCAGTGTACAGACCACAACTATTTGTGTTACGTTAACAATCTGGACGAAAGAACTGAGGGCTTTGTTGCTAAGTCTACAAATGGCACCAAGATAGGTGGAAGGACTGGTAGTGCTGAGCAAGTGGAGAGGCTGCAGAGGACTTGTACAGGCTAGCAGAGTGGACAAAGAAATGGCATTGGAATACAATGTGGGAAAGTGTGAGGTTATGCACTTTCGTTTGGAAGAATAGAGGCACAGATTATTTTCTGAACAAGGAAAAGCTTCAGCAATCCAAAGCACAAAGGAACTTGGGAGTCCTAGCTCGAGATTCTCTTAAGGTTAATGTGCAGGTTCAGTTGGCAGTTAGGAAGGTAAATGCTATGTCAGCATTCATTTCAAGAGAGCTAGAATGCAGCAGCAGAGAGGTGTTGCTGAGGCTGTATAAGGCTCTGGTCAGATTGCATTTGGCATATTGTGAGTAGCTTTACGATTGAAACCAGAATACTGAGAGGTCTGAATATTGTGGATGTGGAGATGATGTTTCTACTAGCAGGAGACACTAGAACCTGACGGCACAGCCTCAGAGTGAAAGGATGACCCTTTAAAAAGGAGATTGAGGAGGAATTTCTTCAGCAGAGGGTGGTGACTCTGCGAAACCCATTGCCGTAGAAAGCGGTGGAGACCAAGTCATTAAATATATTTAACTATAAGATAGATAGGTTCTTAGTTAATAAGGGGATCAAGGGTTATGGAAGAAGGCAAGAGAAACAGGTTGAAAAACCTATTGGCCATGATCAAATGGCAGAGCACTTACCCCTGCAGAATTCTACAAGTCACCGGCTGCTATCCTGAAAAAGCCTGCTTTTTATCCCCACTCCGCCTTCTGCCATTCTTCTATTGATGCCAGTACCTTGCCCCTAACACCACTGGCCCTTATTTACCGGCCTCCTGTGCAACACCTTGTGAAAGGCCCTCTAGAAATCCAAATTGATCATGTCCTCGAGAGGCCAAATGGCCTAATTCTGCTCCTATATTTTTTGGTCTTAAATAATGCAAAAGGGTTATTAACAAAGCAATCCCATACCAAGTGCTTAAACAAACAAAGTTTGATCATTTCATCAGATGAGCACTTTTGTGCCAAGTGCTAATTAACTTTAAACACCCAGTTAAATTTTAACCAAGTTTAGACATTAAATTTTTGTCTCAATTGATCCTGCTAAAAGTAAAAGTAATCTGTGTACTTGTACAGGAATGTTCCTCAGAAAAACATCATATATCTTCATGATTTTATAGACTCAATTACAAAAATTAGTTTTCTTCATATCAGTTACTTGGAATTAGATTGTGGCTAACATGGCTTTATTCCTCTTAAAACATTCAAATCAAATAAGAGACTTTTCTGAATGAAAACCAAAAGAACTGCGGATGCTGTAAATCAGGAACAAAAATAGAAGTTGCTGGAAAAGCTCAGCAGGTCTGGCAGCATCTGTGATTTTTCTACTAACTTTCAAAACTGGTTGCAAAATGAAAACCAAGTTGTGGAAGGTGGAACAACGATTTTAATACAGTACGGTGACCCTTCCTCAGAACATTCTGAAGAAGGGTCACTGGACCCGAAACGTTGACGCTGTTTTCTCCTCCACAGATGCTGCCAGACCTGCTGAGCTTTTCCAGCGACTTTGTTTTTGTTCCTGATTTACAGCATCCACAGTTCTTTTGGATTTTAATACAGTGAAGGGCAGAAGTGAAAATGAACAAAATTTCATTTAAAGAAGCTTCTCAAATATAATTTTTAAAATAAAAATCAGAGAGCATGCTCAAAACACAGATCAATTAGCAGAGAATCATCAAAATGGCAAGGCGGTGTGCATGAAGGAAGGGACACACAAGAGGAAATTAAAGATGAGAAGGTGACTGAAATATTGTCTTTCAACGAGGTCCTTTATTTGCTTACTGTTGTAATGCAGGTTTCCAGTAGAAATAATGTTTGATCTAGGTAATTCTATTTGCTTATTTTGTTTTTAATTTGTAATATTCAGTGTCTTTGCAAAATCAACACTGTTTAGTTGTCTGAAAATAAAAATACCTGCTAATATAGTATACAAGAAAATACTTGAAAAAACATTCCATAACCATAAAATGCTTTACCTGCATTTAATTTCAAAATTCCTATTGATTCAGTTAGAAAACTAAATGATTTACTAGCTGAAAAAGGGTTAAAAAGCAATTCCTGTATCCTTCTAGCTATACATATACAAAACGTAAAACAGAAAAAAAAAAAATTGAAAATGCATTACATTAACAACAAGTCTTCCTCTCATTAAAATGACTAATATTACTAATTTCTTCAACAGGTCTGAACACTCACTGGAGCAGATTTTATTGCATGCCATCGCTACTAATGGGACAAAGAGGATGTGAGGGACCTTCCAGTAGTCCAGGCTAGGAACCGCTGGACTCCTTCACCTGGGAGTAAAAGGGAGTAGTTCTCCTTCCACTGAAGCCCAACAAAGTGTCCAGGGCCTCCAGTTCTAGAGCTGCTGGTGCTGCGCAACAGACCAGGTACAGACTCTGCTATAGATAACACGCACACAGAGGCAAATAGGAAATTTACGCAGGGATGTCCAAACAGTATCTGCAACACTGGAAATATAATAACTGGAGCTGCACATAAATGTCTTGGCTGGTATATTTGTAATATTAAAACAAAATGTGATGCCAAATGGCTTCAGAATTCACAAAATAATCTGCTAATT